ATCCATTCTAATAGATTTAAGTTAAAAGAACATATCACCAATAATAACTTATATTTAACTCCAAAATATCTTAAGATTACTTTTACTGTAATTTAATGAAGAAGTAAGGTTACCTGCCCTTAGTAAGAAAGAGTAAGCCTATGCAAAATGTTGGGTGACAAGACAAAATGAGCACATATCATAGTTGGTCTAAACTCAAGTATAAAAACACATTCTTGGGTTAATAAAATAACAGGTTAATTCAGCACACTAAAGCAAAAGTTTTCCAAGCCCAAATTACTGGCATCAACAGACTCCATGGATATGAATTTCCTGCACTGCTGGCCTTGAGCACCTCTCAGTGAAATATTTAGTGGGCTCTTGTGCAATCATCCATACATTTGTGAGAGTCTGTATATGTATAACAAGGAGCACCACTCAGGGAGGAGGAGGAGGAGTAGGCAGAGGCAAAGAAGGTGTATCATGTAATAAAAATGAAATTTGCCCTAAAAAGCACCATTGAAGGAGGAGGAGGAGAAAGAAGCAAAGGCAAAGAAGGTGTATCATGTTGTAATAAATATGAATTTTGCCCCAATAAGCACTACTGAAGAAGTAGGAAGTTATAATGAAAATGAAGTCTCTCTTTATTGTCATCTTCCGTGCTACACACAACCAGCCTACTGCACCGAGTCACACCTTTATAATCTTGCTTTATACAGTATATGTCATCAAGATCCCCTACTACTAACTGTTGTGCAGGCTAGATGAGTCCTCTACCCTTAAAATAAGATAAAATTAATTACCAAAGAACTCATGTGACAAAATCAGTGACTTGATGTTTTCATGAAAGATTCCCAGTACTGATGTCTTTTACTGTATGTATAACATTCATAGCCTTAAAAACCTCAAAAGCTAAATAAGACATATCTTAACTGTACCATAAACAATATTAGGCCATAAGGTAAGCACTTTTTCAAATAAGGCCTAAACTGGAGATTTAAAAGAAAAGAAAGGGTGAGGGTTTAAATGATCAGGAAATACAGGACAAAATCCCAAAAGACACCTTTGTGGTTTAAGTACAGTACAGTTTATAGTGTATATGAAAAATGGTTTCCTGAAACATAAGCATTAAGAATGTAACCCCAAACTAATAATAATATTAAGCTTACAGTAGCAGCATGACTGAGATACTTTGTCTCAAAACATTCCACCCAAATTTATGTGATTTATTAACTAGATTCCTGCCACCTCTAAACATTATTGAAACTACAAAAAGCTGGCTTCTTTAACATATACTGTATATTAAATACAAGCAACTTCATTTAACATGACTGAATACTGCCGAGTCTTCCTCATAATTAACTGTGGGATTTGTTTTAATTATTTTTCTTACTTTTTTTAATTGACTTTTTTTGGAAAATGCCAGTTTGTGGGTTTCCTGATTTGGGACTTTGCACTGTACAGTATTTTATAAAAAAGTGTAAAAGATATTACCAAACAAAAGGGCAAAATAAGCTAAGGTAAAGAACCAAATTAATGATTAGTGAATTAGGTAAAAATTATGTACAGTATACAGCAAATGCTATAAACCATAGTACAGTACAGCATCAAACAAATAAAACAATTTGAGATACCTGAAGAGGGATATAAAGTAAATACAGTATTTCACTTCTATGTTTCATTTCAAATGGTAAGCATTCAGTCAAAACTCACAAAATCATTATTTACTAATTGCTACACATATGGCTGGAAAAGCAAAAAACAAATATTGATTATGATAATGAAATTCCAAATAAATGCAAGAAAAAGTTAGCAGCAAGACTTTGAAGTGTTTATTAGAATAACAACACACAGTATGTAAGGATAACGAAATAATAACAAAGTGGTTTACATAACTGGACAGGAAGTACTGACAAAGATGATATAATTTTGGGGGGAACACTATAAACTTAGGTGAGTACATGACACTATTGGTCCCTATATTCTTTCTCTTGCAAGACCTCCAGTTCCCTCAGTGATAATACTCCTCCTCACACTCCCTTGTATCACCCATCCAGTTTAACATTTAAATATTAAGTGTTAGTAATACAGTACAATATTATGCCATGCCCAATATATCTAACTTTCAAAAAATAGAAGCTAACAAACTTTATGATATTTTTTTACAATTTGCTGGATAACATCAAGTTGAGTTAGCTTAGTTTCTGGCAGTGATGATGTGAGCGGCTGCCCAACACAGCCAATGGCTCCTGTCAACCACATCTGGTTTTGGGTTTTAATGTGCATCTCTTAATTTGGGAGCTAAATAGTTCCAAATAAGCTATGGCACTCTTAGTAATACGGTTTTCATAAGAATTTACCAGGTATTGTATTGATGTTTTACCACAGCTTGCCTTTCTTTCCTCAGTACAGTAGAAAAAATAAAATAAAAAATAAAAAACCTAACATGTAATTCGTACCCTCCAAATACGAAATCACTCATAATTTGTAATGGTCTGCTGTTACGAAATATACTGTATATTAAATTTTTTTTAATATTGGTAAATTTTAAAAATATTACGATACACTACAGTATATACTGTACAGTACAGTACAAGTATATACAATATTTATAAAATTTTGTGACAGTACTATTTGGTAAAATTTCTGATTATGAGTGACATTTACAAATTATACTGTATATGACACGTCACCACGTGGCCATGGGATGCGACCACCCGCCTCAGTCTAAACAAGTGTCGGTCACGGTCATTTCACATTCGTCAGTCACGGTGTGCACATCTAGGGTCTACCGCACAAGCTTTTACCACTTATTTATCCATCACTGCCCTGTGTTTTGAACCATTATGTCTGATATTCCTAAATCTGGTACTTTACTTAGAAAAGCTTAAATTTTAATAGGGTCAGTTAACAAAAAAGTACTGTTTTTTGGGTTGTGTCCTCATACTTCGTAAAACCTCATATTTCACAAGGACTAGAGCCCCTAGTATTTCGAATTATGGTGTTATTTTTTTACTATACATCACACTGCCCTTATAAACTTTTTACTTACATCCCAAAACCTCACGTTTTACATCAAAATGTACCCATATATATTAATTAACTGTACTGTACTATATTTCAATTTCCTCACCTTTATTTTATATAATTTTATCATATATTTTGGACCATTCTTATCAGATTTTTAGTTTTGATTTTTACATTTTGTATAACAAAGATTTAAGCTCTGGATAAGTTGGATGTTATTTTAAAAAGTTGGGTATTGTGCCTGATTCAGTCCCCTGCGTGCCCTGCTGGTGAAGAATGCTTGCACCCTCTGCCTTCTAATATTACTTCTCAGCTTCCTTATATTAAAACTTTACTAAATGGCTCTACATGTATGTACAAATTCTAAACTTACCCTATACCTATACCATAATCCCTTCTACTGATAATTCACTTACTATTGTAATCATAAATTCTCTTCGTCCTATAAACACCCAAATGGCAAGACAGGTTATGAAAAGTTTAGAACATATTAAAAAGTTGGAAACAATATATGCAGATGATGTAAAAACAATGGAGGACTCAATAAAGGAGTTCCAAACATAAGTAGTAACTGATATAGGTAAAGGTTGGACGAGATTATCAATAAACAGAATACTGTAATACCATAATGTACTTGAGACATGGTAGTCAGAATAAGAACATGGGAATACAGACTGAGAATATAACAGAAATGAAGAGTTTAACTACAAAATAAATTGAGTGACAAATCTGTGTAGAAAAATGTACTGTAAATGAGAAACTGTACCAGTAAGTACAGTAGAGGAAGGTGGAATGAGTCAAGTTAAAGAGAAGCTGCTCTACAGGAGGTGAGATACAGTGGGTATGATGGTACATATTGTTGTTTGCACTCAAGAAGTAGTGTGTATACAGGAAAAGGACTTGGCAAGTTATGGAACTTTTACTACACCAGCTATATCACTTACTTTCCTCAAAGAATACCATTATTACAATAGTGCTTCATTCAATGATTTTCTTGTTGCTACGAGGGAAACCAAATTGTTTCACCTGGTTGATGTAAATTCTATAATGGAAAGTGGGAACAAAAGAAAGGAAGACTTTTCTTTGGAAATTTTGTGACCCTTTAGAATAATGATAAAAACAAAAACCAAACAAATTTCTGAATGAAACACAGTTCAGACATTCCAAATTAATTTTGCTGGGCAGCAAATCTATTTGGGGGTATTCTTAACTTAGAGCATACATCACCTATGTACAGTACATGACCACAATTGCAACTTGGCACAGATATATTCTCACTCACACAGATGCACAGAGTATGATGGTTGTCTCGACCTCTTCCCCCCCCTCCCCCCAAATCTCCTCACTCCCAAGAGGGGGGGCTGGAGGATAGAGACATCAGTGCAGGAGGTCATGCCTCATGGGAGGGCCAGGTTTTCGCAGAAGGCTGGACGCGGAGTGGGTGTGCCTACAGGAGGGTCAGTACAAGAAGCCACATGGGTGAGGAAGTGCAAAACATCCAAAAAAAAACACAAAAATCATACAATTGTGAGTAATTAAGGTTTATAATGTTTATCAGTGCAACGCATAATGATTCATATTTATTGAAACCTAACAAATAGTGCATTTCCTTTTTTAATTCCAAATTTTTTTATAATAATCTATGCAGTCAAGTTCTTACCAATAATTTTGAAAGTTATATTGTTTAAATCTTCAACAGAAAACTATATTAATCAAAAGAAAGGCAAGCACTTGTCAAGCATGCAAAGAAAAGCAAACTTGGTGATTTAACACGTGCAGTGTAATGGCTAGGCACTATGTAAAACAAATGACAAAATGTAAGTGATTATCCAAAATGCAGTTTATAAGTGACTGCACAACTGCTCTTCTCAAGATACTGCAAAAATGAAAAATATCCACAACAAGACATCTTACAATGTCCACCTTCCATTTAAAAAAAAATAAAACAAAATGAACATAAATTTTTTAAACACAAACTAACATGGGTAACTTACTTCAGAGAATCATTGTGTGTTTTGTATTCCATGACAGTGTTGGGTGGAAGGTTGAGGACTCGTTTCAGTGTGTCACGGATTCTTCCTGTTGTTAGTGAATCTTGTGCAGTTCTGTTCCAAACAGATATTATGTCCTCCTGAAAAAGACAAAAAATATATATTATGCTATATATTCAAATAAAATAAATAGGATAAATATTCAGTATTTTCCACACACACACAAATATTATTATAACAACAATCCGACAGGGACTGCCAAATAAAATCAGGATATATATGGATGAATAACACTTTTTGTCAATAGCTGACCAATAACCTCTTTATTTCTAAGCTTGCCATGTTAAAAAAGTTGTCTCCTTTCTGCCGGACACATCTACTGTACTACAGTCTCAAACTAATACTTTGACTTTTAAAACTATGTATGCTATGTTTCTAAGAATAGCTACCAAGATAAGATTATATCACATGATAACCAGAGGATCATATTCTTACTATATTCATCATCATCATTGTATTGTAATTTTCCAAGCTTGGTAGACTATCTCACTTAACCACTTCACTATGGGTGTCATGGTCACAGTTGTACCAATATTATATTTATACCTATGTATTCATATTATGCTCCACCATCCACAAAACATGTGTAAAACTAATGAGTTACCCCCAAAGAGAGACTTTTTTCCCTAGCGAGAGGTACCATTCATTTTCTCTTAAAAGTCCTGAAATACGCTCATACACTGTAAATTTAAATTTAGGAGATAACCCGTATGAGTAGCCATAAGAGTTGTATGCCTACCATGAGGAGAAGCATTCAAGACGTCTCAAGTATATGTTGAAAGCTTCATCTATCTTTACGTATAGTGTAAATTGTGTCAAGATGATGTGTTCTAGCGGCCGGGCAACAGCTGGGATTATTGATCTGGTGTTCGCAAGAGAACGAGATGAGAGTTTGCAACTGAAGTTATGTCTTATTGATCTGCGGGCCTCAGAGAATCAGATGACTGTATTGATAGTAGTGTTATCTTTGTATTAAAGAATCTCATTTATCTTGAGGGTATACCTCAACGGGCAAAAATCTCTGAAAGGAAACCAGACCCAAGTGAGAACCGGATGCAGTGGTTAGAAGCTATGCCTACAATGTGATTGCCAGCCCATGGTACTTGTGATTGATTTCTTTAATGCATTGCAAAGCTTGAACACCGATCAGATTCTAAGAGATAATCGTAGAAAATTAATATAAGCCCATAGTACTAATTTTCACAAGCCAATGTGTATCGTAACGGAGGCCAATAAATATGTCTGTGAAATTCCTGAATAAGTAACTCAGTGGGTATAACACAGAGTTCCAGCCAGGAGCATTCACTCTCTCCTGATTAAGTGCCTACTCTCTGTGTAACAGGTATGTGTAGTACTTTGTGTCCCATCCCATCATATTAAATGAATTTAACTTAGTTGGACTTTGTTTGAATATACAAGTACAAGTAATCCAGTAACATAACTTGAGTGTCTTTAGTGGTGTTCATGCTCCATTAACTTATACAAGATATACAATGTAACATTAATGTCACCACATTCTCTCCTAACTCTTAAGCGCCAACTCTCTGTGTAACAGGTGACTAAACAGACCACGGGTGGTCACTATGTGCCAAGGATGATGTCCAGCATCAGTATGGAGACAGATGAAGGCCGTTAAAATCTGATAGTGTCGTGTGATGAGGTGGTGTGGTGAGCTGAAGTCCATATGTACAGCCAGCCATCCAGAGGAGGTGGCCGGTGTGTATTTGCCGTCCACTTGTTGACAACTCAAGTCTGAAGTGGACACGGCCAGCTAATAAGTACTGTTATGAGTCCACAACGATAAGTAGTTTATTATTGGGTATAACATTCATCAGTTTGACCCTGTATGTAATCTTTCCAGTTGTATGGGTGTCTGGAGTTGAACATGTGTGTGAGGGTCGCCACTTTACTTTTCGTCGATTATAACCAAGTTACACAAGGATGCTATGATTCCGGGTGCTATTGGAGGAGTACGTTGGTGCTATTACTAAAGAGTCCTGTTAGTAATTAAGAGATAATTTCTCAGGTAACCTGTAACGGTGATGCTCAAGTGTGTTAAATGTAAGAGTATAATGTTGTGTGTCATTATAAAGTAACCAAGTAATGGTGGATGTTGAAAGTTGTAACTAATTGAGAAGCACAAAATGAGTGAATCCATGGAGATGATCCTTGTAGTTTTGTATTAATGACAGTAGTCATAAAACCTAACTTCATTTTAATAAATCATCTTTACTGTATATTAGAGGTATCATTATCCCTGCAGTATTTTACCTTTATTTCTCCCCATATCTTGGTACCATTAATTACAATGAATCCACGTGACCTAGCCCTCGCCATGCTACCACAGGTTTAAGAGGTTAGGAGGTATCTGTATGGGAAGTAAAATAACTAAGAAATAAATAACAGAAGGAATTAATAAAGTAAGAAATTGAAAGACAGAAGTTGAAGTAGAGAATAAACAGAAACAATTATCAAGAAATAGAGAAAAGAAAGCAAAGATATAACAAGGAAAGGAGAAAAGTAAATAAATTGATTAAGAAAGAATATAAATCCAACCTATATAGAATTGTATGGGAGCAGTAATCTCAAAACGCACGCCCTTATATAATGGCGACAGTGGTAGGATAAACTCCCAACACGGAGATGCCACTTTTAACATTGTATTTGGGTAACGGCCGACAATTTTATTCAGCTCCGAGGTGACTCCATACATAAGGGGTTAAGGTAAATCTAATGCTGGAAACTTCTGAAATTTACTAGAGCTTTGAACACCAGTAATGAATACTAGCACCAATACCTGTACAGGTACATACCACCGCTGCCATTCAAATTCTGTACTAGCAAAGCCTTTTCCTCACACATTGTTGAAATTGAGAAATCTCACCTGAAATCGCACAGATATGACGGCACCACAAATCTCATCACCAACCAAGAACTGTTCCCCTAGCATGGCCAAGATCATATTCTCCCAACAACGCGACGCTAACCCTTTACGTAGCCGCACAATCCATTTTCCTCCATTTTTATTTGCCGAGTCCTGTGGAATATAAAGCATTGGTTAAAAAAATTATGGTGTACAAGTCTTAAAAAAAAATGAGGGGAGGGGAGGGGGGGGGATTAGCCCACCCTGGAAGAGGTCACCAACCCATATCAGGACCTAACAGGCAGGAAAAATGAAAGAAAAAAGAAGAGAACCATAAATAAATACAGTAGTGGAAAAAGATAAATAGAGAGAAATGATGTATTGTATATGCTTTGTTGTCAAAGTAAGAGAAACAATGGAGACCCTGCAACTGTGGGTAAATGATGTAAAATGTCAGTCAGATCAACAACCTGGGATTTGGTCAAAAATTTTGTGGTGCCATAATGGCAGCAGGGTCTACCATTAGACAACACATTATGTTTCCAATATCTTCCCAGGTGATAGTACCTCTGTGTTTGACAGCTGCCTACTACTTCATTCTCCTGTGGGTGTGTGTTTATGTTTGTAAAGACGATGCTCATAATGTGTCTATGGACCCAAAAATCTGTATCATTTGAACCCTTGAACAAATGCTAAAACATGTACTGTACACTGTACAAATATTCAGGTGGGTTGGAGAGATGTGTATCTTGATAATCCACACGAATATGTGCAAGACACAAATAATATTCATTGATTTTTTTACCAGTCAATAATAACCAATATTCTAAAGTCATTTAAACATTTTATATTACAGTATAAGAGTTAATCATAGCTCATAACTTTACCTCCCACATGGGCTTTATTCCATCTTTAAAGATATGTATGTCGGAGTGTGAGGTAAGGTGAGCTGGCCGCACTAAGTGGCTATAGTGACCCCAGAACTGTTCCACGGAGGCAAATCTGCAATACAGTACAGTAGACAAAAACTATAATATTAAAATACTTAAATATAATACTCATGCCAAATATTAAAAGTTTACAAAATGAGTGACTTCAATACAATTTAGTCAGTCAAATGTTTAATACAGTACTGTATTCTTAGACCAATTTTCACTGGATTCATCAGTTGTGTATAATGAACATAAGCATATCTTGTTGGTAAATTACTGTGGCATTTGAGTAACATTACATGCATTTATTCAAACGCTTGTTACTATACCGTACAGTAACACACTGGGAATAATAGGGAGGGTAATTTTAACCAAATTACAGTACTTTCTTATTGCAGTACAATACTGTACTTTACTTCTCTGCCTTTTCTAGGCCTTAATCAAATAGAATTAAACCTTATATATTATAAATTAGCAAAGAAACTTGTACCTACCTTCCTATTAACTGTAGATTCTGGTCATAATTCTGTGTTGTCGCCTGTTTGCCCGGTGCTCGACGACTAAACCAGATGCAGTAGGAGTACTGAAGTCTGTGTTCCCCGGGCTTAACTTCAAGTGGTGGCTGAGGGAAAAAAACTTTGTCTTAGAAGACAAGAAGTGTAATCCAATGAATGTTGCCAATACTGCACCAGAAGTATGATGAAACATAAGCAGTTAACCTTCAAACCAGTAATGCATGTACAGTATACAAAAAATGTGAACACAAATATACAGCATTGGCTTTAATGAAGGGAGATACTAAATGTGGAAGCATGGGGAAAGGAAACACTGCATCCCTCAGATCACCTGAAGAAGGAAGCCTAGCTTATTTCACTTGAAGAATAACCTCCACAAAACTAATGACCCCCAGGTAACATTAGGGTGGTTAACTTTCAGGTGAAATAAGCTAGAGTACCTAATCTTCGAGTACCGTAATCTCATGCCCCCTTCCCCCACCATATACCTGCACTGTATACCTCTGCTGCCAAAAAACTTACTAGAGGTTTTTCTGTCTCCTTTATCTCTCTGGTACCATTATCTTCTTCACCTGAGTCATCGTTAGTTTTAAGACTGCAAAGAAAAATATTACATGAGTCACCAGCATATTGATAAACAACCTATAGTACAGTACTAATATTTCAGCCATTATAAGAACTGGCGATGAAAATTTGGCATTTGGGAACAACAGCAATTGCATATGTTCAATACCTCATAAATTTAGGCGACTTTACAAATACTATCAAAGAATGTGTATCCGATCTGCCCTTTCAACCAAAATGTCTATGTTAATCCACAGTTCACTAACTTCATATGAAAATCTTTGTATTATACAGCACTTTGACTTCTGAATCTGCAACACTGGTTTTATAGAAAAGAGTATTGAAAAGGAATCAACAAAATTTTTCACTCGTGCATTACCTCAACTCCAAAATCCCATAGTTGACAAGTGCAAGAAAACTGCGGTTACCACATTCTTAAAAAAAAAAAAAAATTCTGAAGACAAAGCATCATTGACCATGCCAGCCTCAAAGACACTACTGTTTGGGATTTACCGAGCCAACATAACCTGTCCGGGGCTATATGTAGGACTATCCGGCACCTAACTCAAAAATGCTCTATACAGGACCACCATGATACACGAGATAACATGACAGTCCTTACCTTATCTAACCTACTTAACTTAAATCTAAGACTGGTAGGTTAGTTTGGTTCATCTATCTGAAATATATTCAGGGTTTAAACTGCCAAACTAATTTAAGAAAAAACGCAAATCTTTGTCATTTTTATGAACATTCTTAATGAAAGAAAGAATTTAACATCACAGATACAAAAAATTTACAGATTATGTTGCAAAAGAAGGCAAGTTAAGGATAAGGTAATGTATGAGAACACTGATACCACCAGCAGGAGTTGTTAAATTTCTTTCATTATTTCCACAGATGTTCTTCTCATTATAATAAGTATTTTAAAAGAGGCGACATTTACTATAACCTAATAAAACCTGACCTATCCAACCAAAGAAACCTACTTAACTTCCTAGCCAGGGGGGACGCATATTAACCAGAAAGTACTTATTTTTGTATCTGGTACCAATGAAAGCAACTTTGTTGAAGTTTCATGGTATAATGTTAAATTTTTTGTGGGCGTGAAAGTACGCTCATGTTTTACCCCGCAATTTCCCTTCAAGCCCTGCCCAATACAAATGATTTGGAATCACAGAGAAAACTAAAATGTAAATTATTTTATAATTAAAATAAAACAAAATCAAACGACTCCTTCTGGTGGCAGCAGTTTCTTAATATATTACCGAAAATAACTATCAGCTTACACGGTCATTTTTGACGAGATACCTGCTGCTGATTTTTCATGGAAAATTATTTTAAAACGCTGCAATTTCACTGTGTTTTGCAGTGGACACTGTCGTAGTTTGGGCAAATGTGTTCAAAGGTGGTTATTTCTAAATCAAACCTAACCTAACCTAATCTTAGTTGATAAGAAAAAAAAAGCGGCAGAAGCGTTACTGGAAGATCACACCAACCTAACCAAAGAAACCTACCTAACTGCCTAGCCATGAGCCTTCGTCCCCCTGACCCCCAGCATATTAAACAGAAAGAACTTACTATTATTTGATGTAATTTTACGTTGATTGGGGCACCTTACCGATTTATTGCTGTGCAAGACAAAGTATTGCCGCTAATGCAAGCCTTGGGGCCTAATGATCTACCAAACGAGGCAGTTGCCCAATAAAGAAATATCATAACAGAACTCACAGATGAAAATATAGTAAAGAAAAGAAACATCAAAACAAATAACGAGACAGAGTAGCGGCTGCAAAGTCGTAAATAATGACACTTTAATTTGTTGAAGATGAAGAAGATTGCCAAATAAATCTAACATCTTAGGAAAAATATCAACTTGAGACCTCTACATCTCTCACACAAACACCAGTATATACACACAAGGTACTCGAGTCAAAATTAAAAAAAAACGGTGACATTTAAGATAACTGTAAATTACAAATAAATAAAAAAAGTATTTAATGCAGAAAATTTTGAAGACACTATGGCCAACAGGTCGTCACAGTCCTGCCATATGTACCCTTCACTTACGGTTATTTTTAGGTAATATCAAGTTATTCAACACATTATTACTTACGCGTCATATTTGTTAACCATTGTGGACATGCTGGTACTAAAATAAATTATACTATGACAAAAATTCACTTCTGTTGTTCTCAAAACATAACAGCTCAGGGTCACCACACTCACTGGACCAGGGTGCAGGAGTCAGGACTCAAGTGTATATATATTAAACATAATCAATTTACTTTGAATTTGGTAAAAATATGTATCAAAAATATTAGATTTAGTGATTATGTGAAATAAAAGGGATTTCATTGTCATATTTTCCTTCAGACATTAAGTAAATACATGTGCAAATATGACTAACTTTGCATTAAGCAAATTTCTTTCTTTCTTAATAATACATGGTGAGAGGGGAAGTACTTTATTTCACACACTTGAAAGAACATAATTTATTAAAAGGTAAGTGCCAGTAAAAAAAAAATATTGTCTTGATTTTATAAATACTTAGTACAGTGTAAAAATCATAAACCCATATATCCAGATCTCTTATTCAAATGACTTGCAAAACTACAGTAATTATAATTTTCTAAAAGCCATTTGAACAAGAATTATTCCACATATTAAATTTTGGTCAACAGATCCTTAATCAGCATGTTCAGGAGTACCTATACTGAGATTTTTAGCAAAATCTATTTTTTTGCCCAAAATCCTGTAAGGCATAAGACTTACAATTTTTGTCATTTTCGGCCAAAAAAATAGATTTTGTTCAAAATCTCAGTATAGGCCCACCAGTTAAAGAACACTCCGGGCCCTATACTTATTGTACAGGGGCCCTTATGGTTGTGAATATATTATATAATGAAATACTCGGTGTACACTTGAAACAAGGTTATACGCTGGCACGCTGCGCAACAAATTAGTTTCAGTGGGCCCCCAGATACCGGTGAGCCCTAGGCCAATGGCCTACTTGGCCTATTGGTAAATCCGGCCCTGCCATTCTAATGCCAATGTCTTTTCTAACTGTAATTACTCGCCGCCTATAATTTTTCAAGGTCACTTTTTGGTGTTTATGTGTTATTCTGCATGCATGTAGTACTTTACTCAATACATTAAATATAAATTCCAAGAAAGGTTGTTGCTGGCCGAAAATCCTATAAGGCTTACCGTTTCAGAAATAATTTGATCACCGATTTTGTTCAAATTATCAATACGTACAGTACACGTTGATTAATCAGCATGCTGGGGACCCAATAACTGATACAAAACATAAAAGGATTGGTAAAAATAGTCCTAGAATGTTTAGTGTCTCGTGTAAGTACAGGAGACAGCCGTACCCTCACTCTGGACAACTCTCCTCGCATCCAAACTGTACCACCTATCTTATTACGAAGAAGAGAGGCACAGCTACCAGGAGATTATTACTGACACTGCCAACACATATTTTTGTCAGTATTTCATGTTATTAGTTGAGTATTATCTGGTAAATAGCAAAGTAAAATAAAACTGCCATATTGTCCATGTCTTTTATTTTCGTCAGGATAGTTTGGTAATTTTTATTTCCTACTATATATTACCCCAATTTACAAGCTATACAATAGATCGTGTAATTTGTCAGTTATATGAATTAAGTTTTTCTTGAAGATGATTGTGCGAAGAAAACAGTGATTAGTGGATATTGAAGCCATTATTGTCATATTATGTTACCGCAGTGTGTGTGTGTGTGTGTGTCCAGGCAGGGGTTACACATGCACATAATCTCTCACAATCAAGCGTCTTTGTGTTCAGCTGTAAGTGCCACTGTCTCTACCCTTTGTGTTGTGTGAGAAAATGACCAGCGGTATCCAGTGACCCAGTGACCTTACGAGGTTACGAGTGAAAGTTCTGCAAACACAAACATCAAGGGACTCTGTAAACACAAACATCAAGTGGCTCTGTAAACACAAACATCAAGGGACTCTGTAAACACAAACATCAAGGGACTCTGTAAACACAAACATCAAGGGACTCTGTAAACACAAACATCAAGGGACTCTGTAAACACAAACATCAAGGGACTCTGTAAACACAAACATCAAGGGACTCTGTAAATACAAACATCAAGAGAGAGAGAGAGAGAGAGAGAGAGAGAGAGAGAGAGATATGATTGGGCAGACATATATAAAATTGTATACTTATACTGTTTATACACATAGTTTGTATACTTGCACTGTCTATACGAGTTTACTGAATATCTTCTCTGTCTGTCTATCTATCTGTCTATTAACCACCCTGTCGCCTTCAATGGCTTCACTCTTCCATGTCGGTCGGTCTGTTTGTCTGTCCCACACCCACCGACAGTATAAGGGCGACTCCTCAAGGATCAAGGGCCTATAAATTCTGACCTGTAATAAGTGGGTGTCGTGCCCGGCCACTAACACCTGGAGGGGAGGGGGGAAGGGGAGGAGGAGGGGAGGGGGGAGGGGGACGGGTCATGTGCCCTACCTCATCCCACTACCTAATTCATTTTTTTTCACCAGGTGGGGAGAACTACCACCGTCTACCTGGCCACTTTCAGGTCATTTATTATGTGTGTGTGTGATCTACCTTTCACTCCGTCAGACACTTTTGGTAATTTAGGCTATATAATCTCATCCTCTCCCCCTCCCTCCCTCCCTTCTTCTTCTCTCCCTCCCTCCTCCCTGGACAATAAAGTTCACCACAGAATAACAAAGAACAGACCAACCACTCGAATAGTAAGGACAATAAAGTTCACCACAGAATAACAAAGAACAGACCAACCACTCGAATAGTAAGCTGATAGGTGGTGAAAGGAGTGATTTGATTCATAACCTAACCTAACCAAACTCCTTCCATGCAGCGATAGGGTGGTTTACCTTCATGTCATCCGGTTATCTAAAATTGTATTCCCAAACACTAACAATTGGAAAAAAAACTGAGAATATGAGTTAAGTAAATATTAACCGTTATAAACACAAGGGTATAACT